TCAAAATATATTATAAAGTACAGTAATGGTACTGGCATAAAGACAGACATATAACCAATGGAACAAAATAGAGCTCAGAAATAAATTCACATACACATTGTCAAGTGATATTCAATAAGGAAGTCAAGAATAGACAACGGCAAAAGAACAGTCTCTTCAACAAATGGTGTTGGGAAAACGGAATATCCACATGGAAAAGACTAAAACTGGATGCTTATCTTACACCATACACAAAAAATCAACTCAAAATAAAGACTTAAACATAAGCCCAAAACTGTAAATCTCCTAAAAGAAAAATTAGGAGAAAAGCTTCATGACATTGGTCTTGGCAAAGATGTGACACCAAGAGCACAGGCAACAGAAATAAATAAATAAATGAACAAGCAGCAGTACATTAACTAAAAAGATTCTACACAGTGGACAATCAACAAAGGGAAAAGGTAACCTACAGGACTGGAAAAAAATATTTGCAAATCATCTATCTGATAAGAGGTTAATACCCAAACTATACAGGGACCTTCTACAACACAATAATTTAAAACACTATAAATGAAATTAAAAATGGGCTAAGAGAGACTTCACCGGCGATCCAATGGTTACAACTCCGCACTTCCACTGTAAGAGGCATAGGTTTAATCCCTCATCAGGAAACTAAAGATCCTTTATGCGAAGCTGGTGCAGCCAAAAAAAAAAAAAAGGCCTAAAATCTTGCATAGATATTTCTCCAAAGAAGATATACAGATAAACCATAGGTATATGATAATGTTCAATATCACTACTCATCTGGGAATTGCAAATCAAAACCATAAGGCGATATCACCTCACACCTGTTAGGATGACTATTACCTAATTAAATAAATAACATACATACATATAAGTGTTGGTAAAGATGTGGAGAAATTGGAGCCTTTGCACCATATTCATGGTAACATAAAATGGTGCAGCTGCCATGGAAAACAGTACAGAAGTTCCTCAAACAATTAATATGATTTCAACTATATGAGGTATTTCAAAATAGCAAAATTCATAAAACCAAAGGGCAGAATAGTGATTACCAGGGGTAAGGGCGAAGGGGATACAGGGAGTTGACTAATCAATGGGCATAAAGTTTCAGTCAGGCAAGATGAACAAACTCTAGAGATCGACTGTACAACACTATACCTATAGTCAGCAGTAACATAATAAACACTTTCAGTTCAGTTCAGTCGCTCAGTTTTGTCCGACTCTTTGCGACCCCATGAACTGCAGTACGCCAGGCTTCCCTGTCCATCACCAACTCCCGAAGCTTACTCAAACTCATGTCTATCAAGTCGGTGATCCCATCCAACCATCTTATCCTCTGTCATCCCCTTCTCCTCCTGCCTTCAATCCTTCCCAGCATCAGGGTCTTTTCAAATGAGTCAGTTCTTTGCATCACGTGGCCAAAGTATTGGCGTTTCAGCTTCAGCATCAATCCTTCCAATGAACACCCAGGACTGATCTCCTTTAGGATAGACTGGCTTCATCTTCTTGTTGTCCAAGGGGCTCTCAAGCGTCTTCTCCAATACCACAGTTCAAAAGCATCAATTCTTCGGTGCTCAGCTTTCTTTATGGTCCAACTCATACATGACTACTGGAAAAGCCATAGCTTTGACTAGACATACCTTTGTCAGCAAAGTAATGTCTCTGCTTTTTACTATGCTGTCTAGGTTTGTGACAGCTCTTCTTCCAAGGAGCAAGTGTCCTTTAATTTCATGACTACAGTCACCATCTGCAGTGATTTTGGAGCCCAAGAAGATAAAGGCTGTCACTGTTTCCATTGTTTCCCCATCTATTTGCATGAAGTGATAGGACCGGATGCCATGATCTTCATTTTTTGAATGCTGAGTTTTAAGCCAGCTTTTTCCCTCTCTTCTTTCACCCTCATTAAGAGGATATTTAGTTCCTCTTCACTTTCAGCCATAAGGGTGGTGTCATATGCATATCTAAGGCTATTGATATTTCTCCCAGCAATCTTGATTCCAGCTGGTGCTTCATCCAGCCCAGGAATTCGTATGATGTACTGTGCATAGAAGTTAAATAAGTAAGGTGACAACATACAGCCTTGACATACTCCTTTCCCAATTTGGGACTAGTCTGTTGTTCCATGTCTGGTTCTAACTGTTCTTGACCTGCATACAGATTTCTCAGGAGGCAGGTAAGGTGGTCTGGTATTTCCATCTTTTTAAAAATTTTCCAGTTTGTTATGATCCACAGAGTCAAAGGCTTGAGTGTAGTCAATGAAGCAGAAGTACATGTTCTTCTGGAATTCTCTTGCTTTTTCTGTGATCCAATAGATGTTGGCAATTTGATCTCTGGTTCCTCTACGTTTTCTAAATTCAGCTTTGATACCTGGAAGTTCTTAGTTCACATAATGTTGAAGCCGAGTTGGAGAATGTTGAGCATTACTTTGCTAGAATGTGAGATGAGTGCAATTGTGCAGTAGTTTGAACATTCTTCGGCATTGCCTTTCTTTGGGATTGGAATGAAAACTGAACTTTTCTGGTCCTGTGGCCACTGCTGAGTTTTCCAAATTTGCTGGCACACTGAGTGCAGCACTTTCACAGCCTCATCTTTCAGGATGTGAAATAGCTCAGCTGGAATTCCATCATATCCACTAGCTTTGTTTGTAGTGATGCTTCCTAAGGCCCACTTGACTTCACACTCCAGGATGTCTGGATCTAGGTGAATGATCACACCATTGTAGTTATCTGTGTCATTAAGATATTTTCTGTATAGTTTTCCTGTGTATTCTTGCCACCTCCTCTTAATATACACTTTAAAATTTATTAAAGGGGTAAAGCTCATTTTAAGTGTTCTTTCCAGAAAAAAAAAAAATTCTAACAACTACTAAAACAGAACAAAACAATTTGGCCCATAGCAGGCATTCAATAAAAGGGAAGTAGCAATTGCTTGTAGCAGTAGTAATAATAGTAGTGGGAAGCCAACAAAAGCTTTTAAGTAAAACTGTGTCTGTCTCAGGCTTCCCAGGTGGCGCAAGAAGTAAAGAACTTGCCGGCCAATGCTAGAGACAAAAGAGATGCGGGTTTGATCCCTGGGTTGGGAAGATCCCCTGGAGGAGGGCACGGCAACCCACTCCAGTATTGTTGCCTGGAGAACCCCATAGACAGAGGAGACTAGCGGGCTACAATCCATAGGGTCACAAAGAGTCGGACACAACTGAAGCATTATGCTTTTTGTGTGGTTGTTGTTGTTGTTGTTGTTACTGCTTTGAGGGTTTTCTTTTTTATACATTTAGCAAAAAGTTGTAATTGTAAACAAAACTATTATTTAGCTTTTCAATTTTATTGTTTTAGCACTATATTGTAAAGGGTTTGGTGTGTCAAAGGCTGTATGCATTCTAATGTCTTCTGGTCATAATCATATGTTGTGTGATTAAATATACATGCCTGAAATGTCAACAGCACCTACTGAGAAGCTATTAACTTATTCCATAGGCTTTCTATCTGAACTGTTAGAGGTTTTTTGTTTTTATTGTATGATTCCATTTATATGAAATGTTTAGAACTGGCCAATGGAGACAGAAAGTAGATTAGTGGTTGCCCAGGGCTAGGGAGAAAGGAGAATAGGAAATAACCGCTAAAAGTCACTGGGGTTCTTTTTAAGATGATGGAAATGTTCTGGAATTAGATAGTGGTGACAGTTGCACAAAACTGAATAATTGAAAACTCACTGAATTAGGTACTTTAAAACAGTGCACTTCATGGTATATGAATTTTATCTCAATTGAAAAATTGCTAAAAATAAAATAAAACACTTAGAACAGGGCTTGGACTTGAGTAAGCACTCAATAAATGTTAGGTGTGATTAATACTAAAACTTCCAGCACAGTTATAATTTTCTTATTTGTAATAAAGTGATTCCATTTTTTAATGTCTAACTACAGATAGCTTTTAAGCCTGGCCCTCCCTCTTCCCCACCCACCCCTATGGGCAAGCTGATAAGAAAGCCTGAGTTCTCCTGCCTTTGGTGCCTGTGGAAGATTCAAACTAGGTGAGACCCTGGCCCATGTGCAGGAACCCTTACCTCAGCCCCAGCCCTTAACCAAAATAAAAACCAAGCCAGGCTCCTTCCTTTGTTTCAAGGCATTTCAGACCTGCTCTCCAGAGAGACATCAATTACATAAGCAATAAAAATTTCATAACCTCTTGGCGAGGGTGGGTGGGTGTGGGTGCGTGTGTGTGTGTGTGTGAGAGAGAGAGAGACATCATCAGTCTTGACATTCAAACCAAATTTGGAGTGGGGTGGGTAAATCCAACTGCCAGGGCAGGAGAGGTGGGTTCCATCCCTGGGTCAGGAAGATCCCCTGAAGAAAAAAAGGGCAACCCATTCCAGTATTCCTGCCTGGAGAATCCCACGGACAGAGAAACCTGGCTGGCTACAGTCCATGAGGTCCCAATGAGTTGGACACCCACACAGCAGTCCATCCTGTCTCTGCAGGGTGGCTACAACAAGCCACTGTATCAATCAGCCACACTGAGGCCTGCATTCTCACACGACAGCAGTAAGCAGAACAGAAGAGTGCCCTCTTTACACAGGCACATGCTCTCCATTTGGCCACAGTTCCCACCACAAGCAATTACCTACTCCACCACTCCAGCTTCCTAGGTGGTGCTAGTGGTAAAGAACCCACCTGACAATGCAGGAAACATAATGAGTGGGTTCGATCCCTGGGTCGGGAAGATTCCCTGGAGGAGGGTATGGCAAGCCACTCCAGTATTCTTGCCTGGAGAATCCCATGGACAGAGGAGACTGGCGGGGTGTAGTCCATAGTATCACAAGAAATCAGACACGATTGAAGCGACTTACCGTGCAGACTCCAGCACTCATTTACTCTACCTGCCTAGTCCCCGTAGGTAGGTTTGCAGCTAATTGGCTGCCGAGAGGCGAGTCTGCAACTGGACCTGGCTTTCATCCTCATTCTCAGAAAGGGGTCCCCCTCCCCTTGCCCTGGCTCGAAGATGGCCCCGCCCAGCCCAGCACCTGCCGTGTGTGTACAGGGCACCTTCATAGAAAATGCCCTGGTCATCTGGGGTCTGGAGGGATCCCAGCTTCCAGTGATGCCCACTGCTGTGTGTCAGCACCGTCCCGGCGGGCCAGGCCTCAAGCATGGCGGTGCCGTGCTCACTTCAGCGTCCGAGGGCTTCGCAGGGTCCTATGCAAGCGGCTTTGTAAGACAGGTGTGCACCAGGACCGTTTGAGTCTCTCATAAGGATCTGAGGTATTTTCGGACCTGAGTTGTCACTGTCTGAGAAGATGGTTGACGGGGGAGAGGTGACAGAGCTGGTACATTTCACTTTCTTGGAAGAAGTTTTCAGAAATGGCATTCAGCTCTCTCCTTGAGCTTCGGAAGCATGCTTCAAGTGGTCAAAGGTCTAGGACCCCTCACGGCCGTCGGTAGGTGTGTTCTCTTACAGTAGGGGCGGAATTTGAACAATGCTTGAAAACTTCAGTCACAGTCTTTAGAGAAGTTGATTATGCTTTCCAGGGTCACTGCCTGGCCCTCAGATCCTGGGGACATAAAACTCCACCTTAGCGTCCTTCCCAGCAGCCCCTGCGGAAAGCGGAAGTGGCTGCACCCTAGTCCTCTGCCCTGAGGCGGGACTGCACCTGCGCCGGCGGAACTGGTTATTTAATTTATGAATTATATTTTGTTTTCGTATATTTCGTAGTAACAATTACAGAGCTAGTCATGCCTTGTGGCCTTAATGTCTCTACGTTGTTTACAGGATCAAGTTTGAATGCTTTAATAGAATGTCATTCGAGTGTCTGTTAGTCGCTCAATCGTGTACGGTTCGTTGTGACCCCATGAACTGTAGCCCACCGGGCTCCTCTGTCCGTGGGGTTCTCCAGGCAAGAATACTGAAGTGGGTTGCCATTTCCCTCTCCAGGGGATCTTCGAGACTCAGGGATCAAACCCGGGGTCTCCTGCTTTGCAGGCAGATTGTTACCGCCTGATTCACCAGGGATCATATGTCATTCTAGGACCTGCACAATTTAATCTTTCCAGACTCATCAGTTACAGTAGCTGCCTCAAAATCCTGTTTGTCGTTGTTGTTGTTATTCTTGTTTAGTCACTAAGTCCTGTCAGACTCTTTTGTGACCCCATGGACTACCGCTTGCCAGGCTCCTCTGTCCATGAGATTTCCCAGGCAAGAGTACTGGAGTGGGTTGTCATTTCCTTCTCCAAGGGATCTTCCCATCCCAGGGACAGAACTGGCAGTCTCCTGAATTAGTAGGTGGATTCTTTACTGCTGAACCACCAGGGAAGCCGTTCACAATCCTATATGTTTCTCTATATTTGTGCTATTTCTTCTGCTTTTACCTGCGATATCTATCTATCCAGTTCTTCTTATAATGAAATAATTCTCTTCTGAGGTCTTTTCCATATACTATGACCCCGTCTCTGACATCTTCAGAAAATTTTACTTCCTGATTACTCCATCCTCCTGTGGCATTTTATCATAAAGATTATAAATATTATTATCTTATAAGGAACACTATATGTGTTATATTCACCTTTATACTTATTTTTTGAATTGGATTTATTCATTTCAGATGATTCTTGAAAACATAGAGACTAATCAGCCAAACAGATCCACACAAAATCTTTTCCTATCTCGAATTCCTTTAGAAATTATGTACACCATGTGTACTATATGACCATTAAGTTGGTTTTTAGGTTGCTTTGGGATTAGTCCATTGCTGTGTAGGTCTCCACGCTCTACCTTAATTAGACTATCTTTAAGAAATGAGGTCACATATATCTTTTCTTTTGTTTCCTTGTGTGTCAAAAACATCATCCACAATAGCTGTGAATATAAAGTGAATATAATATAATAAAGTGAATAGCCCCATATATATGAGTATGCAAAACCTTCATTCGTTATTCAAATAATTAAACTCTCAATGTTTATTCTCTTCAATTTTATCTCTGAGGCTTGCTGAAGTCTGTTACTCAGAGTCCTCACATCTGACTAAGAGTCTATCTGAATACATTTTTTATCCTAAGGCACCTAAACATTCATAAAAATGCTACTTCTTTTTAGAGAGGGCTGGGGTTCTCAAAGTATCCAAACTTGACCAATAAACAGATGTGTTTTTTTCTTAGCAAAATTAATATATTAATTACAAAAATTTAAATACCTTAAAGTAAAAAGGCAAATCCCTCTTTAATCCCCCAATATTTCAATTTACTTCATAATGCATAAGACATTTATATACACAGTAAATGCTTTGTATATTAAATGTATACTTTCTCTAATTTTTTGCACCCATGAATCATTTTATATTGACCACTCTACTCAGTAAATAACAGAAATCTTCCTATATCTATATAGGAAGTATATATCTATACTTCATCTCTTTTATTTTTATTTTGACTAAACCATATAAACTTACTTGGAAAAGAGTAGTCTTGATAAGCAGAATGTGGAATATGGAAATGAAAACAAGTGTCCAAATGTCACATCTGTCTACAGACAGGCTTTTTTCCACAGTGAAGCAACAGGGTCAAATTCTGTGGTATCAGAGATGATCCTCAAAAAGCACAGAACTTAATCCCTGAATTTGAACTTAATCCTGACTCACTTCATTTCCACATCTTTGATATTATTGGTTCAATATAGTTAGCCTAACTCAGATTCTTACACCAGAGTCTTAACAAGTAGGTATCTTGACAAGAAAATTTCTCTGAACTCCTAAAATAATGATGAAGCCAGCCTGTTAGATTTGGTGGCAGACTTCACTAAAGTTATGAAATCTGCTCTTCACCACCAGTTGAATTTTGGGTACATCTATTTGTGCAGTGTGCTAGACAAAACCGTGATTCTTAAAGCCAGAATCAGACTATGCCCAGCATCCTCTTAAAAATCAAGCCAGCACAGAAGGCAGGATCACACAACATTGGTGCAATCATTCAGAAGCTTCTATATATTCATTGACTGTACTTCTAAACCCAAAGCATTAAAAAATACACATGATTCCATGGAATTCTGTCCTAGATGATGCAAAATCGTATCAATGCAAAAATGTAATCCAAAGCCTGTGGTGGTGTGGTCATCCTCATAGAAATCCATCGGGAAGAACTAAATGCAAATGCCACCTCCTAGGCAACTTGTTGTTCAGGGATGTATGGACAGCCTTTTTAAAAAAATCAATTCAAAAGGGCTCTCTTCTGGTGGACATCACCCAAAAAGGACCAAGACAAGGCATCAGGCAGTCAGCCAAAGTAAACCTCTGCACTGCAAGCATCTCTCCAAAGGAAGAACAACAGTAACTTGGACTTCCACCTGCTTCCTTTAGAGACCCCACAGAATCACCCACGGGCCATACTTAACATCAGTGGAAACTCAAGAGTGCCAAAAACAAAGATCCAAAGTATAGTCACTCCATCAGCATCTAAGTTCTACTCATAGAATCTCTGCCCCTAGACATGTGCAGCAAACCATAGCAGCTGCAGCCACCCAAGCTAAAGGGGCCTGATTAGAAGTGGGGTCACCAAGAGAAAAGTGGAAGAATGTGTTAAAGCTCAACAGTTAGCTATGTGGCATATCCTCTGACTCTGCCAAACCATAGCAGTCAATGGATTGCTGCTGTATTCTTTAAACCTGGAGAAGTTCTTAGTTAACTGAGATTTTGTGCAGCCCCAGAGGTGAAAAGGGAAAGCCACCAATGGTGACAGACAGCCTGTCTACATGTGTACTTAGACAAAATTGAACTGTGCATCATTAATTGGTAAGCTTTAGCCTGACTCACGCACATGAATAGGAATGCTAGCAGCAGCAGCTTCTCCTAATACCAACAACAAAAATCAATACTTAATGTGAAGTATAGACACAGTCCAAGACAGCCCTCTCTTGAGTTTTGAATTCTCATCATAGACTAAAGATGATTGATGGTGATGGTGCTGCAGGTAATGGACATATTACTGTATGCCACATCACTTTTCCAGTATACGGTTCTGATCCCCTTGATTCTATTCAGCCTTCACAAATGTTATTCTCCCTTAAATCCCCACTCTGCTTTCTCAATTCCTCCACTCACCAGTGAGTAGTTCCACTGAGCCATCTGTGTTCTTTTCCTTTCTGTCTATGTAGCATGTAAACTTTCATTGTTCAGCTACCTGGGCATTTCTCCTTTCCCCAGGATCCTGCCCTGTCACTTCACCCAGATTGTGCTAGTCTATCAAGATGAAAACTACACTATGACACACACTCCTGTCAGATGCACACAGTGACCCTCTGTTGCACAATCTGTACTCGTCCCTCATACAGTAGAGACTCGGCTCACAGATTTGAGATCCAGACTGCAGATCAGAGGGGAGACTGACTTCTGCCCTTCATTTGGGCCAAAGAATACTTGTCTCCTTATTCCCAGCTTCTTCTCAAGTTGCAGCTAGACCTGGCGAGATGTAAATATGTAAGTAAAACCCAAGACCATACTCACAGGTTATCCTTTTCAAAATGCCAGCACTTCTCAGTTGCCTTATCACAGGCTGATTCAACTCCTTATTCATAAAGGGCCAATAGCAAGAAAAGGCAGCTCAGTATGCTGGGAGGACTGCAGCAGTTACCACCATATACTGATCTTTTTGTTCTGACACATTGATGTGTGGGATTGGGCTGTGGGCAAAGTTTCTATGTCTCTCTTTCTTGCAGCCCCAGGCTATCCTTAATCCGTGGCTCTGCTGAAGCAGTCCTTTCTGGGACAAACATAGCATAGGAAACTTCACAATTGTTGTTAGTGTTTAATAACACCTACGATTGGACCAGACATTCTACAAATGTATAGCTTGTATCTTACTAAACTTTCTAGGGGAAAAAAAAAATCCCACTTTGGCTGAAAGCTAAAAGCTGTCTAGCTACTGTAAGGGCAACAAGAATATACATTCCTAAAATATCTCTAATTGCTTCCCATAACACAATACAATTTTCCACTTCTTCTATTAAAAATTACATTAACATAATATACTCTATGAGCAGGCTCTATGGTACTTTAAATATTCAACCAAGCCCACTAGTAGCTTGATCCAAGAAAAAAGCCACATTAAAACATATTTTTAAACACTTCTTTCAGAAAATGTGTAATATAATTAGAAATAAGACTCATTTTCAACCTATACAATGTTAGTCCTTGCCTTGGTTGCCTGCCTTTCTCTTCCTCAGAACCTAATGTGAAA